GACTATTGTCTCAATATAGGGTTGAACATAGTACAATACTCCCCGACTATTGTCTCAATATAGGGTTGAGCATGGTACAATACTCCCCGACTATTGTCTCAGTATAGGTTTGAACACAGTACAATACTCCCCGACTACCTAGTGGTCTATAAGTACACATTGTATCTTTATGTAATTTACATTGAGCACCCAGTGAAATCAAAACTTCAAATTGTATTTTTTTGAGATTCCATGTCTATGAGATTATGTGATACAGAAAAAATGGACGAATCACGCTAGTAAATGCGATTTAGCTAGGTTTGTCATTTGCCATGTGTTCAATGCAACAGAGAGACCTTGAACATTCAATTATTAATTATATAACCCTGAAATTCGTATGGCGGTGTTTATGGATGATGAGGCTTCCCAAGGGCCACTTTATAGCGTCATCTCACTGAAATGTCTTAACCTGAAGACAGTAGCGTGACACTCCAACAGGTCAAACTATTCTGACAACGCGCTAACTAGTGGCACCTAGGGAGGCTAAGCGCTGCAGAGAGAGAGAGAGAGAACCAGAAGAATAAGATGCAGTTCAATGTGTATAAGGTGACCAACGCGAAGCTGCCATTTCAGCAGAAAGGCAGATGCATGCACATAGAAATAATAATAACTATTTGCTTTTATTGTGTTTGGTCCAAAATATTGATTGAATGATTGTGGAGCTAAAGGTATCGGTCGTTCGATATGTACGTCACTTGATGCTTTGTTGGAGAAATCCATTGCAGTCAAACGTCGAAAGGATCACTCCGGACTCTGAACGACTCTGAAAAGTTCCGCTTATCTGTCAAATTTTGGAGAAGGATAACAGGAAAACAGTTATTTAAAGTAAGATTTGCATGGGTAAATGTGCACATCATAAAAAGGAGATATGAATCAAATTACATTACAGTCGCGAGTAACATGCATTTTTAATGTAAATTTCTTGAAAATAATGTTCCCTCGGTCCCTTTTAGGGCAGTTTAGGGCCAGCTATCCTTGGGTACTCAGCCAATCAGTGTGATCCGTTACACTTATCCTTGGGTACTCAGCCAATCAGTGTGATCCGTTTGATATTGTTTCAAAGGAGTCGACTGCCACGAGTAAAATTCGTTCAGGAGAAAACGCACTGAACTGCCAAACAATCGTCACTATTATATCGATTACATGTGAAACGATTGCTTATCGACGACAAAAAAAATCAAAAAAACGGATGATAAATTTTAAATAATACAAAACATTGCACTTGGGAGCTGTCTGAAAGGTGGATTTAAGTAATAGTACTATGTCTGTCTTATCTAACATCCAAACCAACCCATGTAATGGGGCTGTCGTCCCTCCTGATGGAGACCATGTTACTGGCTCAGTCTTTTGAAACGGAATTTAGATTTAGATTTTCTATTCATATTCCAGCTGTTATCCTGTACAGTAACGTGAGACTGTATTGTCGAGTTGGACCACTTTAGTTTGAAGCTTACACGTCACAGTGTGTTTTGATGAACCTGTTGCGACCAGTCTGGTAACAATTATGTGTAATTTTGTCTGTAAGTAAATACGCTGTCCACTCTACGTCATACGTGTTGTGCTGCGACCTTTCCTTCATCTCAAGGTTATCGATTAGTACCAATAATACAGTCCCTGTAAGCTACAGGGACTGAGGTTAAACACTCGCCTTATCTCCGATAAAAGTCAGAACTCTCACCAACCAGGAAAGAAAGCGATCCAAACTTGACATTTATGTAAAATGACATCATTTTATCGACCAAGACATAAAAACGTACTCAAGTCGGTGTTTGGTTTGCCCTTAAATATAATAACTTGTCTAGGGCATCGGGACGCTACGGAGCCATTCAACGTACAACTTTGTACAATTGAACTGCCGGTTATCCGTCTTTGCGTATTGCCGAGTTATCTGCTCTTGTGAGCAGGTATTGATTGTTACGTCATTTTTTTGTGAGAGTAACGTCATCAATGTTTGAGAAAACGACGTAATTTTCTCACACAAACCAATGGCGTAACAATCAATACCTGCTCACAAGAGAAGATAACTATGCAATACGTAAAGACGGAATACACACCCGGTCTATACCATACGTCACTTACTGGCAGGCCTATTTAAGACAACCTAACACAGCCTATTACACGTAGGTATATTGCTTAAAAGAATAAAATAAACACACTGTTTATGTTAATGTATAACCATCTTTATCAAACACAGAACTTACATACAAAGTACTGACAGAGAATTCCTGTGGTCGTCTGGGCGTTGAATAATAAACTGCATAACTGTAATAAGGTCAATACAAAATATAAAATATTAATGTAAAAATTATTGTTAAGTGTGGCACCGATAATAAGCCCTCACGGAGACACATCTATTGGGCCCCTCAGTTGTAATTATATCGTCTAATATTTCCACCCAGCTGCAACAACGTAGCGTACATATTAGTTAAGTAATCGGTCTTAAAATTTCTTCATCACATAATGTAGTATACCTGATTAACAAACCGAACACCAAACCGAGTAAAGTATTGGTTTTGTGCATACAAGTAGCATGTATATATATTTGAGTTATGAGATTTGATATCTTTAACGGTCAGGCATATTTACCATCATAAGGCATTGCCCTACCACAGTTAGATGGCATTCATATCAGCTATAACTGTTGCCATGATTGTAGGCTGCATCATTATTATGACGTCATCTTGATAACATAAGATACCATTGATCTGCTCTGGATAGCTGGTTGTTCTACTCATTAACACTAACACTAAATGCTGAGTTTTGAAAAGTTAATTTGTTTTTCTGTGAAATAAACAAATTCCAGAAATGGTAAAAAAATAATTCAACTACTCTCAATTGTCATTCATAGGCAATACGGATACCAACTGAACATAGTTCATTACTTAATGGCCTGGCGGGTGTCTTAAACAGTCTGGCGATACTTCTAATGGCCTAGCGTTATCTATATATATAACAGTCTGGCGATACTTCTAATAGCCTGGCGTTATCTATATATATAACAGTCTGGCGATTCTTCTAATAGCCTAGCGTTTTCTATATATATAACAGTCTGACGATACTTCTAATAGCCTGGCATTATCTATATATATAACAGTCTTGCGATACTTCTAATAGCCTGGCGTTATCTATATATATAACAGTATGGCGATACTTCTAATGGCCTGGTGTTGTCTATATATATAACAGTATGGCGATACTTCTAATAGCCTGGCGATATCTATATATATAACAGTCTTGCGATACTTCTAATAGCGTTATCTATATATATAACAGTCTGACGATACTTCTAATAGCCTGGTGTTGTCTATATATATAACAGTCTTGCGATACTTCTAATAGCGTTATCTATATATATAACAGTCTGACGATACTTCTAATAGCCTCGTGTTGTTTATATATATAACAGTATGGCGATACTTCTAATAGCTTGGTGTTTTCTATATATATAACAGTCTGACGATACTTCTAATAGCGTGGTGTTGTCTATATATATAACAGTCTTTCGATACTTCTAATAGCGTTATCTATATATATAACAGTCTGGCGATACTTCTAATAGCCTGGTGTTAACTATATATATAACAGTCTGACGATACTTCTAATAGCCTGGTGTTATCTATATATATAACAGTATGGCGATCCTTCTAATGGCCTGGCGTTATCTATATATATATAAAAGTCTGACGATACTTATAATAGCCTGGTGTTGTCTATATATATAATAGTATGGCGATACTTCTAATAGCCTGGCGTTGTCTATATATATAACAGTATGGCGATACTTCTAATGGCCTGGCGTTATCTATATATATATAAAAGTCTGACGATACTTCTAATAGCCTGGTGTTGTTTATATATATAACAGTATGGCGATACTTCTAATAGCCTGGCGTTGTCCATATATATAACAGTATGGCGATCCTTCTAATGGCCTGGCGTTATCTATATATATATAAAAGTCTGACGATACTTCTCATAGCCTGGTGTTGTTTATATATATAATAGTATGGCGATACTTCTAATAGCCTGGGGTTATCTATATATAACAGTCTGACGATACTTCTAATAGCCTGGGGTTATCTATATATAACAGTCTGACGATACTTCTATTAGCCTGGTGTTGTCTATATATATAACAGTTTTGCGATACTTCTAATAGCCTAGCGTTATCTATATATATAACAGTATGGCGATACTTCTAATAGCCTGGTGTTATCTATATATAACAGTCTGACGATACTTCTAATAGCCTGGTGTACGTTATTCCTGATAGTCTGGGGTTAACTCTACCAGTGTAGCACTTCCTCTAATTTCTACAATGCACATCACACGTGTTCACTGTGAGAGAACCATGTGTGATTAATATAATCTCACACCTGGAGCATTTTGGGTACATCTGCCCAGTGCCCAGGGAAAAACATAATATTTCACTCCCAAGGAATGAGATAGGAGAATCTCAACCCGAGGGGTTTACAAGATTCTGAAATTGCCAAACAAGATTCTTGCCGAGCTTTTGGCAAATTAAGAAACTTTCCAGGAAGTGCAGCATACGTTTCCCCGCTCTTCACAAATGCGTTCTTGGTTAACTTGGTTAGCATGTACGTTATCTGTTATTTTCTATAGGTTTTTATGCATTCGCAACAACTTTTCAGATTTCTTCAAAATTCTGTGATAAGAATTGTTAAAAAAATAGTCAACTATGTGGGTATTGGAGATATGGAAATTGTAGCTTCGGGTGTTGAATGCATGATCAGAACCACGGCAAAGTTTCGGTTCTAACCTGACTTTCTACACCTCCGGGTAGAATTGTCCTATATCATGCTTACAAACGAAACCATGACACAGTCTCTAAAAATATCACACGTGGTCTTTCGGTAAACATAATTCCCGTAGTGTGGCACATAACTTATAATACAACACAAAACAGCTACTGAAAACATCAAACTAGAATATTTAATAAACCCATTTGTACATGTATATACCGGAGTCTACATGCCAATCCTAGTGTACACTATGGTTGAGTCATTTATGTATAGGTAGATGATAAACAAAATATTATGTCCACGTCACACAGGAGATTATGATGGCCGTGTCAAGTTTGGGCGCGGTGCTCCCTGTAGATTCACAGCCGAACTGTCCAGTCTTCCAGGCCTTCGATATACCTTGTAGTGAGGTCACACTGACGTAGTACTGGCCGGTAGTTACTGACAACGCCTCAAGGGGGAGCGAGTTGTCAACACTGGACAAAACATTAGAGTACCCGAGAGAAAACTGAGGATTACTCGCAGTCGCGACACAGCTGCCTTCATACACCCGGAAGTTGTAGTTTATGTCCCCTAACGGTGTAGCGCTGCTCGGGACCTGGTAGACAAACTTCAACACGACTGAAGTAGTGACAGCTGTTGCAGGCAAGTCGGTCGAACATGACGTCACGACCGTGAACGGCGTCGTGGATGTATCGTAACAAGTGGACTTCTCTGCCGCGGTTAGATCAGACAACGTGGTGGATTGGATCCAGATTCTGGTGTTAGGACTTGAATTATATTTCACACTTGCAACAACTGACTGAGACGTACCGGAAGTGGCATCCGTTATATCCGCTAATTTTATCCATTGGCCTGGGTTCATTGTAACAATGGTGCTTTGACCAGAATCAAAATGCATGTTGATGCCGGACCTATTGAGATACTTGTGCGAATCATATTTGCCACTATAAAAACTTTGGGGACTGTAAAACTGTACAACTTTATCCGAGTCCAAATAGAAATGGGTCAAGCCGAACACCATTATTGACCCTACTAACATCACTGTAAGACCGATACCGATGAAGACCTTCAGAAATATTCCATTCCGCTCAGTTTTCTTGCTCTTGAACTTGATGTAACACGACTTGGCGAAGGCAAAACCTATGTTGGTGAGAACCTCCACGAGCGTTGCTATGGCCTTGGCCATCTGTAGGATACTGATCGCCTCCTCCCTACAGCCCGCTATGTACACATTAATTAATATCTGGGGCACGTCCGCGAACCATATCGACACGACGTTAACGCCATCTAGTAGCCATGCAGGGAGATAATCCTCGTGATTAAGGTCCACCAGACCTAGGATTACATCCAGGATGTAGACAGCGCTCCCAATACCACAGAACACTAGGAGGGATATCTCGAGGCCTGTAGAAAAGGGGCCGAAAACGAGACCTTGTTCGAGACCGCTTACCTCGTAATAGATCAACCAATCACATGCAAGGTCAAATGTCCTTGACAGTATGCTGACTATAAAAATCACGAGCTTACATTTATTTATAGCCATTATTAATACCGATTTTCGTTTGATTTGATTTGATTTGAATTCCGAATATAGTATTTACGAGGCCTTTCCACTGGTATATGAACAAGCAGTGTATTTCCGAATGGTCGCTTATGAAAATGATGTTTCTCGGGACAATTTAGGAGGTATCCGCCTCCTTCCATGCATGTATATCACTGTAACGAACCAAGAAAACAAGGCGTTCCGAATGTACATCAGCAACATCGAGAGGTCCTCATTCTACATATTCCTATGATATGTCATTCAAACGCATTGTCGATCTAGTTCACATGTCGTTTCCAGCACAACAACTCCTTTGTACGGTTAGCAGTTTTGGAAAGATCACTCTTCTGTAAATAAAGAAAGTATTTAAAACCGTTTATAGTTTTAGGTAAGGAGTAGTACCGTACAGAAAACATTAATCTTACGGTCTGCTGGGTACGAGTTACAGACCATGGACCGTTTTTCTTGTCCGTTTAAACGCAAACGCAACGCAAACGGAACGCAAACGCAACGCAAATGCAACGGAAATTCAACGCAAACGCACACAAACAGTTTAATTGAACACGCTCCTAACACGCCGTTCATAGTAGACCAATAACGGACTTCAATTTAGATGTACAAATGTACTTACTCGCGGAAGCGTGTCGGTCTCTGACCCTTACTCTGACCTGTATTTGCAGAGCGGCAGATGCAGATGTACTTTTAGGCAACATTTTCCCTGTCAGCACCAAAAAAATAATTTGGAATGATGATTTGTCCGCCGATTTTTGGAGAATATTGATAATTCGTTTTGAAATGGAATTAAACTTCTAATGGCATCCGTTTGTAACTCAACAGTACATTACATTTAACATCTTATCAATAAACCTACACGACGCCTAAACACATCCGTTTTTATGAATTGATAAGATTAAAAGTATATTTTATGTTGGTGGTTTCTCACTTATCTTTTTTTTTAATTTCTATATTTTCAAGGTGAAGTTACGGGAATAGTCTTGAAAAATGGTTCTTCGACATCAACAATACATATGGATACGTCTAGTGGGTAGTTTATTTTTTTAGTCTCAAATTCTGAATTTGTTGCTAAAATATATTTGATCAATTTGTCGAAAAATGATAAACAACCCAAACTAAATTACGTACGTGTAATTGCTTGTTTTTATTTAAACTAGGCGATAGCAAATGTCCAAAAGGAGATAAAATATGAAACTTGTGTTTGGAAAATATTGGATATGAATATCATTATAATTATAAAACAAGTGAAGTGATGTGTTTGCATAGAGTATCATTCCTGTATTATTTTACAAATCCAACTAAAATGCTGCAAGCGAATTCCGTGTGATTATTGTTTTTTCTTAAAATCGTTCTCTACTTATATCTCAAACAGGTATAATTCTTATGATATTCTCTTTATTGGTATTATTTGATAATTATAATCAGTATTTATATGAATGATATTGAAGCCGGAGCGTAAGTTATAGGTATCTTATCTATACATCTTACAACACAAAATACATGTATACATTCTATGCACCCTGTTACGCTTAATCATATTTTTTTGCTCACGGTACCTCAAGTTACACATTTGCATTTGTCCGAGTGGTGAAAACGTCAACTGAAATCTGAATTACTTATGTCATTCCCTCCTTAAAACAGCCTTGCTTTCTCCTGACCGTCATTTTGGAAAATATATTGTACAAACAACACTGATTTCATTATCCTAAACAATAGTGAATTAATTCCAACTATCAACTGGTCTTTGCTTTTACCTGGCCTTACCTTTATTATTGTTTAAACGTGTGGTCACCTCTGCTACCTGCGGAAATTGTTATTTCGAAGGTAAAGACCACAAGGTTACTAACTGTGGTTTAAGTCACAGGGATCCGGGAATTTGCTACAGTTGGTTTGTTTGGACCTATCCCGCTGTGTAGTAATATTAGATGTTCTTCTTGTTGTTATTGTGATAAGGCGTTACGTAGATTAACTTAATCTGAGAATTTATGAAGTATACATTAGATGTTTTAGTGGTTAACACTTTTGCTCGAAATAAGTACCGCCCCTCCTTCCATCCGCACCCAAGGAATGATTTAGACTCTCGGGTCCCTGTGGACGCAGATACGTCCTTTGTCGACGTATCTAGATTAAATTTCTCCAACGAAATCTGAGAATTTAGGAAGTATAAATTAGATGTATCTCAACCAAAACTTGGGGAGAATGATTACTCCGACATATCAGGATAAGTCCAAACAAACATTATTGTAACTTATTAAATAGCTTATACTACTTTGTATACGTCTCTGATTGAATTTTACTTATCGTTTTAATTTAATTGAAATATTAAAAAGGAAAAGTATAAAGACGACCAACGTGCACGGGGTTGTGTAACTTCGGGTATATAATAATGAAGAATGAAGATGAGTAACACTTAATGCCCTTTTCATTATGCGTCGGAAACGTATGGTTGTGAGGTATAGATAACAAAGGACTTCAAGGGATTAGGTGGTTAGATTAGTGTTTATTAATTTGAAGTTACGCTATAATTATATCTGAATGTGCTTTATGTATTTTATATCAATTGAATTCAAATGTTTTAGATCACTAGTACCGTAATTTTTTTTAAATGTGTAGGAGAGGGTTTGAGCGGTCAGTATCTGACGAATGACAGCAACCTTTCTTTTAAAATATTTTTCTAACATACAGAAAACTTTTATTTTTTCAGAATTTCATTTCTTAAATCTGCCACAAATAGGTATTTTGATAGGAAATAAAATATATCATTTATAAGAGCGTAGCTCTCGGGCGCAAAAGGCGCCGGAACCACGGAATCAGATTGTTATCTAAGTCCGTGCCCGAACGAAGCTCTTTAATTGCGTAAACAGAGTTGCTTCCCCTTTCATTCTACTCGTTGCCTTTAAAAAAAAAATCGTCCGGAAGTAGACGTCCAGTGGGGAAACCGGAGGTATATCCTTGAAGCAAAGACAAATGTGTTTCAACCCAAACATGAACATCTTCATATAGTGAAAACAATACCGATATTTTATTACTTGTTTATTTAGATAAAAACTAATATACATTCTGAGTGAAAAAAATCTATCACATAAATGTTGATACTAGCAGACATGAAACGTCGTTAAGAGAATACAATTTTCATATTTTTCATGTTTTTTTATATCTCTAAGCACATTTTATTCTACTTAAAAATCATATATTTATTTTTTTAGTTGTAACTATTTTATGATAATTTCAGCAAAATCACAATGTAAATCCACGGACTTAGATAGCATCTAATTCCGTGGTAAATCATAACGTGTGAAGTCATCTTATATCAAAATCCTTTTGCTAATTTACCTGGATATGTAAACCAGAACAGACCGGTGTGTTAGTTACGATGACCATGATCGCTATCATGGGTGGCCTTAGCTCAGTGGGGGTGCACTACCCCTCACCGGTACTTCACGTTTAGACCCCTGGACATCCCCATTTCAGTAAAGCCAGAGCACACGCCTGTACTGGAAGGTCGTCTACTGAAAGGCCGCAAGGCCGTACGTAATAGCAGACGTAAAACCATCAAAATCAATCTGTATTGGCTCTTATAAAAGTGTACCCTGAACGAAAATAGAAATTAATTTATTATTATTTTATATGATCCAAACACAAAAATGTCGAAAACCGCATAAAATATCGGCCATACCGAGATATTGACGTGTTAATTGTACGATTTTCACATGTCCTTCTTCTCCCAATTGGCATAATCGTGACTTGTGGTGATTTGGCTCCTATCGGCTGTGACGTCACAAGTTCAACGCCTGTAGCTGTCACCATCGAAGGAATAGGCGATTATCAAGAACAGCCAAGGTCATATAGCGTCAGATTGCGAATTAATATTTTTTTAGTTTTGAAGAATCAGATTATGCTTAAGTTAACATTATGTATATGGTATCCAGCAATATAAAATTTGCAAGAATTTCCAGACAGTGAGTTTAATTGAAACCAAACTGACGACTCTGAATAGGGTAACATAGACTGGTAGCATTGCATGTCCCGATCCTGAGCACTGATGAGATTTGTTTTTCAAATGAACGAGTTTGAGGGAAATTAAACAGAAATAGTCTTAATGTTATCGATCAAAGATATTTCTTAATTTTAGCTGTAAAGTCAGTTTGCAATCATTTGTTTTACTCTACACAGAGACGTATATACTTTATATGTTTCTGCTCTACAGTGAGAACTTATCCAATCATGTCGTCATTGAACAGCACTACGTCGTGACCAGTTTCTGTGCCGGAATATTTATATTGGAAAAAGTTATATACTGTGGTACCTCTACTGTCCAAAAATACGGGGATATAAGTAAAAATGTTTACAATATAACTTCAACGTTGGTGTCTGCTGTTTTCAAATGTCAAGATTTTTAGTATCACCGTTTAATGACAAATCCACGACATTGTGTCTTCCTTATGTTAGGTCGACATTTCAAACATTTGACCGATACAATACAGTACCTGTGTTTGCGATGCTAAACTAGATCACGGACTTATATAATCTAATTCCAGAATTTTGTTTACCTCGAAAATATCCTTGAATTATGAGATTTGTTTTTGTTTATTTCTCCCTATACATGTAGCATACAGAAGTTTTAACTTAACATCTTGGTTAAATTATGAAAATCATCACGATCCGCTTCCTTAGCATACTTGGGTATGAAATTTGTGTACAGGTAAACAACACTAAACACCTGTACACAGCGCTGACAGCAGGAGGCCCACGATACACCTATATACCTGTGTATATCAAAGGGATGTCAGCAGATGGGCAAGGGGGGTCCTGAAGTTAGTATGTAGATTGGTGTAGATTATGTGTCTTCCAATTTTCAATTTAACAACAATGTCCTCAAGTGAGATAACGTGGAAAAAATGAGTCAAATGAACGTAGAGACGTATATATATTTATTACGTCTCTGGTATAAGGATCAATTTCAAGAAAAATATGAATAAATGAAA